ACGATCTCAACACTACCTAAAAGCCCTAGAGAGGAATGGAAAGCTTTATTTGCAAAGATTTGGAGGAAAAAGCGATGAAACACAGGTGTAATCCGATTTGGGCCGGACACCGTTTGAAAAGAGAGAATTATATATCAACTCGCCTGTTTGTGCAACATCAAGGGTGAATTCAGGTAGAGGACCGAAGGGGTCAACCCCCCATGGTTCTGGATCTGCCCTGGTGTAAGATTATCCACAATGTTGTAAATATTCAACCAGACCCACAGCAATGGGCGAAGGATGCCAAGCAACTGTCAATTTAATAAAAGCACAGCCAGAACTAACATTTTTATGCAATCATATTCATTTCTCAATTTTACCACTGGTTTTGATTTAAGCACAGACTGACCATTTCAGCAATGATTATCAGTATTCAATGACACATAGTTGCACTATTTGCCCACTGGAAGCTACATACCTTCTGAAAGATGGCTCTTCAAATCAGAGTTGCAGAAAATATTTGTTCAAATGTCAGATTGCATAACACCATTCTAATGAATGATCTGCAATTTGCTGTAGATTTTTAAAGCAAAGCATTTCTGCTTTTTTATTTTCTTATTATTATTCATAAAAACTCAGATTAATGGGAAATTTCACAGCAGCATTACATTTACTTTTTAATGACAAAAGTTTTTTGAATCCAGTATTGTAAACAATTTGCATAATTATGTTTCAAAGTAACCTCTGCAAACTGAGAAACAGGCTGCCACCACCTTTTTTCCCATCACGATGATACACTGTCATTAAATACATTAAAAACAGATTCATTAATATTCTTGTCCCCATGCTTCCACAATGACACCATCCGTTTCAAATCTTCAATGTAAAGAACTGTACTCATGCGCAAATGGGGGAAACAGTAATTGGGAATTGACACAATATGATTAACATAACCTGTCTTTTCAAGGTTTTAAACAGCCTACCGAACAGCTCGGGAAGTCGGACTACAACAGGGCAATTGTGAGAGTGGCTGAAGTAATGGGATAAGCCAATGACAGAATCCAACACTGAGAAATGTCAGAATGTTATCAAAACAGCTCTTGCATTGCTACAATTTGCCTGGGCAGCCAACAATTACAGAAGTATCGACCTTTGGAGGTGTTTCAATTTCTCTCTCAAAATATACTTTTGTCATGTTACTTTTTAAAATAAAAGGGGACTTATTTTCATATTGGTTTTTGTTTTGATAGCAGCGTGAGATTTGACAAA